ACTCCAAGATAATTCTGATTTTCTCTCTGTTCATCATGTTTCAGTGGGTCACCAGAAGAAATGGTCTTGCTGCCAAGACAAGCTCGACTTTTTGCCTGGGCAGATCCTACTGGTACCAGAAAACTTACATGGACATATGCAGCAAATGTTGGGGAACATGATCTGTTAAAGGTATCATTTGATGTGAATGAGTGCTCTATGAGTTACCTGCCAGTGAAGGAAGTAGAGAAACTATCTTCAATGACTCCTTGTCCTAACCGAACTAGAAGTGAATTGGAAGTATTTCCAGAATAAGTAGCTTTTGGACTTTAGATGGCAAATACTGTAGTTCAAACCAGTATATTGTATTAGATCAATCAAAGTAATTTAATTACAATTAAAAAAAAATAGACCTGCTTTATCTTGCCCACCTAAAGACCAGTAAAGCACCTTTTTTATTTACCAATTTTAAAATGAAGGAATTGTAAGACTAAGTTGAAAACAACTTTATTTTGAGCATATCTCTGCCACTTTTGACTATGAGTTTTTAAAGCATGTTTTCCTAAGCACAGCTATATATTTTGTTAATTAATGGAGTCTGATAGATGCAAATTATCGCATGTAAGAAATTTAGTGAAATAGTTATTGAAACAATATTTAGGTAACTGAGTTGATAAAATATGTTATTTTTTAGACTCTTAGCCTCTGAAAGGGCCCGAAGAATTCATATACCAGCCTCTCATCTGATATAGGAATTGCTCCTGCATTAGTAATAGATCATCCAGTTTCTGTATGAATATATTCCATGATGAAAGAGTTTATATAGTGTCATTGTGCGTTGTTCATTGTCCAATAATGCCAGCTGTTAAAAGTCTTTCTTGACTTTTGCTTTAAAATGGTAAGTGGCCAGCAGTTATTGGATTATCCTCATTTCTTCTCTCCTCACATCTGATACTACTCAGCAACTGTAGCTCCCAGTAAGTAGCATATAGATACTAGAGAGAAGGTGGCAATGACCTTCTGGAGGAAGATATAAAGGTCTGCTTATAGAAGCAGATCCAGGAAGAATTCTGTTAACAGCATGGTCAGGGATTTCAGTTTTTAATGTTCCTCTTCTATTTGGTGTTAGCGAATGAGACAGTAGGAAGAGAGGGTGATTCCACCTCAGTCAGCAGATAGTCTGCCACGTATTGAAAATTGAGCTATAAGCAAGGAAATTGTTCATGTTTTTGTCCACTCAGTTGATCAAAGAAGGGAGTTCTGCTTAGGCCCTAGTGGACATGACAGGGGAGTTCAAAGAAAATCATACATTGTTGGCAAACACTAGGTTTACACAGATCTTTCCTCATTTAAGTATGATAAACAGAAAAAATCCCAACATGGACTTTATGAAAAAAATACTTCATTAGAAAAAGGTAGCATTATCCTGTTGATTCAGAGGGCAGTTGTACCTCTGAAAAATTTTTTACTACAGGACCAGAAGCAGCATTTCAAAATGTATGCCTGGCATCCTCAACTAAGTTATAAAGACATGATACTATGAAATAAGAGAAAGCAAGGTGAAATGAAAGACAAAGACAGCAAAATAAAGTGTAAGGGGAGAGGGGAAACTATATTCTGTGCATACTATATATTTATATCCCATTTAATCCTAAATTTTATTGGAGAAATAATAAAGATGATATCTTTTTTAAAAAGCTGTCAATTAGTAGAACTCAAATCAGTGAGAAAGGAATTTCAAAACAATGAGAAAATGAAAATAAGTAAAACTTTGCCGTTACAGTAAAAGAAAGAAACCTAAGAAAGTATATAATAAATGACAGATATATTTTATTGAGGACATATCATATATTGATGCTTTTTATATATTATCACTAATTCTTATGATAGGAACTTTGAACTGCTGGTTGGAATTCAAAATTAGGTCTATCTGACTTCAAAGTCTGTGAACTTTTTCTGCTAGACCATGCTTCCCATCAGTTATGTCAGTAAATGAAAATGGTTTAAATTCTATTAAAAGATAAAAACATTCATATTAAATTAAAAAATTAAGATTTAACTGTAAGTTGTTTACTAGAGTTCTGTTTCAGCCACGCTAACAGAAAATTACAACCATGAAGAGAGATGGTAGAGATTTAACAAGCAAATGGAAGTAAAAACAAAGTAAAGTTGTTGATTTTAATTTCTTTCTTTTAAAAAATTCATACATAATAGTTGTACATTTTTGAGGGGTACATGTGATATTTTGATACATACATAAAATGTGCAATAATCAAATTGGAGTAATTGGCATATCTACCACCATAAACATTTCTCTTTATGTTGGGAGCATTCCAAATCTTCTCTTCTAGCTATTTCGAGCTATAAAATACATTATTGTTAACTATAGTAACCCTACTGTACTAGCTAACGCAAGATCTTACTCCTTCTGACTATATTTTTATACCCACTAACCAACCTCTCTTGTTCCCTCCCATCCCCTTCTCATCCTTTGGTAACCAACATCAACTCTCTATAAAATAAAATACACTTTTTTTTTTTTTTTTAGCTCCCACATATGAGTGAGAACACGTGCTATTTGTCTTTCTGTACCTGACTGACTTCACTTAACATATGACCTCCAGTCCTATCCATATTGCTGCAATATTTGACAGGATTTCAGTAATTTTTTATTACTGAATAATGCTTCATTCTGTATATGTAGCACATTTTCTTTATCCATTCATCTATTGATGGACATTTAGGTTGGTTCCATATCTTAGCTACTGTGAATAGTGCTGCAAAAAATGTGGGACTGCAGGTATCCCTTCAATATACTGATTTCTTTTCATTGGGATATATGCCAAGTAATGGAATTGCTGGATTATAGTTCTATTTTTAGTTTTTTGAGGAAACTCCATACTGTTTTCCGTGTAGCTCTACTTACATTCCCATCAACACTATACAAGTGTTCCCCTTTCTCTACTTCCATGCCAACATCTATCTTTTTTTTTTTTTAATTAAAGCCTCTAACTGGGGTGAGATAATCTCACTGTGGTTTTGACTTGCATTTCCCTGGTGTTTAGTAATGTTGAACATTTCTTCATATACATGTTTGCCATTGTATGTCTTCTTTTGAGATATGCCTATTCAGATCTTTTGCCTGTTTTTAAATCAGGTTTTTTTTTTTTTTTTTTTTTTTTTTTTTAAGGAATTCAAAGCACTCTGCCAAGCTTGTGGAGTATTTTGAGTTCCTTATGTTTTCTGGTTATTAATCCCTTATTAGACAGATAGTTTGCAAATAATTTCTCTCTTTCTGTATATTGTCTCTACTCTGTTGATTGTTTCCTTTACTGTGTAGCCTTTAAGCTTGATGTAATCCTATATGCTTTTACTTGTGTTGATTGTGCTTTTGAGGTCTTATCCAAAAAGTCTTTGCCTAGACCAGTGTCCCAAAGCATTTCCCCAGTGTTTTCTTTAAATAGTTCTATGGTATCAGGTCCCAGATTTAAGTCTTTAATCTATTTCAGTTTTATTTTTGAATATGGCAAGAGGTAGGGGTCTAGTTTAATTCTCCTGCAGCATATGGTTATCCAGTTTTCCCAGCACCATTTATTGAAGACACTATCTTTTTCTGGTATATTCTTGTGCCGCCTTTGTTGAAGATGAGTTGGCTGTAAATGCATGATTTATTTCCGGGTTGTCTGTTCTGTTCCATTGGTCTGTTTTTATGCCATTACCATAATGTTTTGGTTACTATAACTTTGGTATAGTTTGAAGTCAGTTAGTGTGATGTGTCCAGCTTTATTCTTTTTGCTCAGGATTACTTTGGCTATTCAGGTTCCATATGAATTTTAGGTTTTCTCTGTTTATGTAAAGAATATCATTGGTATTTTGATAGGGATTGCATTGGTCTTGTAGATTGCTTTGGGTAGTAGAGATATTTTAACAATATTAAATTCTTTTAAACCATGAATAAGGGATATCTTTTCATTTTTTGGTGTCCTATTTTATTTTCTTCATTAGTGTTTCATAGCTTTGTACATTTTGGTCAAATATTATTCCTAGGTATTTTACATATTTTTTTTTCGTAGCTATTGTAAATGGTATTGCTTTCTTGATTTCTTTTCTAGTTTGTTTGTTATTGGCATAAAGCTATGCAATTGGTTTTGTTTTTTTTTTTTTTTTTGGAGACAGAGTCTCGCTCTGTCACCTGGGCTGGAGTGCAGTGGTGTGATCATGGTTCACTCCAGTCTCAACCTCCCAGGCTTAAGTAATTCTCCCACCTCAGTCTCTCGAATATCAGGGACTACAGTTGTGCACCATCAAGCCTAGCTTTTTTTTTTTTTTTCTGTAGAGATGGAGTTTTGCCATGTTGCCCAGGCTGGCCCCAAATTCCTGAGGTCAAGTGATCCACCTGCCTGGACCTCTGAAAGTGCTGCGATTACAGGCATGAGCCACTGTGCCCAGCCATTTGATTTTTATATACTGATTTTATTTCCTGAAACTTTACCAAATTTATCTGTTTGGTTAGGTTTTGTTTTGTTTTTCTTTTTTTTAAATGTGTGTGGAGTCTTTAGGTTTTTCTAAATATAATGTGTTGTTTGTGAATAAGGATAATTTGACTTTTTTTTTTTTTTTTCAAATTTGGATGCCTTTTTTTTCTTTCTCTTGTCAAAGGACTTTGACTAGGACTTCACTATGTAAAATAAAAATGGTGAAAGTGGGCATCCTTGTCTTGTTCTAGATCTTAGAGGAAAGGCTTTCAAATTTTCCCTCTTCAGTATGATGTTAACTGTGGGTTTGTTATATATAGCCTTTATCATTTTGAGATATGTTCCTTCTGTACCTAGTTTGTTGAGAGCTTTTCTCATAAAGCAATATCAGTTTTTTTCAAATGCTTTTTTAGCATCTGTTGAAATGATCATGTGGTTTTTGTCCTTGATTCTATTAATGTCATGTATCCTGTTAGTTTGCATATATTGAACCATCCTTGCATCCCTAGGATGAATCTTACTTGATAATAGTGATGGATCTTTTTTTTTTTTTTCCCCAGTGGACACTTTTATTGTTTATTTAATGTATTATTAATTTTGTCTCCCTACCTACAAATGGAATTTCATCTTGTTTCCATGCTGAGTAGTGAAACAGTGACAAAGCTAATCATAATAGCCTACATCAAAAAAGAACTAAGCTAACACAGCTCACTTGTTTTAACAGGCAAAATATAAATATATGCACTCTAGAATGCACAATGTTTAGTCACTGAGAAATTCAAATGGGATCTTGAAGAATGTAGGCAAATCCAGGGTGCAGTAAAGATGAGCTGAGATGCTGTGCAACTGTTTAAGGGTTCCTGGCACTGCATCTCTTGGCCACTAGCTGAACCTTGACATGGAAGGTTTTAGCTAATGCCAAGTGAAGTTGCAGAAAATGCTAAGTTGACTTAGGGGCTGTGCACAGGAACTAAAAGGCAGGAAAGTACTAAATATTGCTGAGAGCATCCACCCCAGGAAGGACTTTACCTTCCAGGAGCTCCAAACTGGCACCACCCCCAGTACTCACATGGCTGACTTTATCCTCCGTGTTCCATTTGGCACAGCAAGTGGCAGTGTCTCCACCACCTATGATGGTGATGCAGCCCCTAGAAGTGGCTTTCACCACCTCATCCATGAGGGCTTTGGTTCCCCGGGCAAAAGCTTCCCGTTCAAATACCCCCACAGGACCATTCCACACAATCTGCTTAGCCCAAGTGACAGCCTCAGCATACTTCTTGCTGCTTTCAGGACCACAGTGCAAGCCCATCCAGCCAGCAGGTATGCCAGAAGCCACAGTGGCTTGGCCAGTCTTGGCATTCTCATCAAACTTGTCAGCAGTGACAAAGTCAACAGGCAAGGTAATCTTCACACCATTCTTCTCAGCTTTGGACCTTAGATCCTTGACAATCTTGGCTGCCTCTTCATCAAACAGAGAAGTGCCAATCTCCATGTTGTTGAGCACCTTGAGGAAGGTAAAAGCCATTCCGCCACCAAAAATCATCTCGTTGACTTTGTCCAGCATATTATTGATCAACTGGATCTTGTCTGCAACTTTAGCTCCACCCAGGATGGCCAGGAAAGGTCGCTCTGGGCTCTCCAAGGCCTTGGCAAAGTAGTTCAGCTCCTTCTTCATCAAAAATCCTCCAGCCTTCTGTGGCAGATTGACTCCTACCATGGAGCTGTGGGCTCTGTGAGCAGTGCCAAAAGCATCATTGACGTAGACATCCCCTAGCTTGGAAAGTGAAACTTGGAAAGCTTCTATTTTGGCTGGCTCGGCTTTAACCTTGTTCCCAGAAGCATCTTTTCCCTTCCTTCTTCCTCCACATGAAAGTGGAGGTTCTCCAGCAGGATGACAGACCCAGCAGCTGGGTTGGCACAGGCTTTCTCCACTTCTGGGCCTACACCTGTCTCTTATACACATCTAGATGTGTATAAGAGACAGGCATATTATTGATCAACTGGATCTTGTCTGCAACTTTAGCTCCACCCAGGATGGCCAGGAAAGGTCGCTCTGGGCTCTCCAAGGCCTTGGCAAAGTAGTTCAGCTCCTTCTTCATCAAAAATCCTCCAGCCTTCTGTGGCAGATTGACTCCTACCATGGAGCTGTGGGCTCTGTGAGCAGTGCCAAAAGCATCATTGACGTAGACATCCCCTAGCTTGGAAAGTGAAACTTGGAAAGCTTCTATTTTGGCTGGCTCGGCTTTAACCTTGTTCCCAGAAGCATCTTTTCCCTTCCTTTCTTCCTCCACATGAAAGTGGAGGTTCTCCAGCAGGATGACAGACCCAGCAGCTGGGTTGGCACAGGCTTTCTCCACTTCTGGGCCTACACAGTCCTTCAAGAACAGAACATCCTTGCCCAGCAGAGACTTGAGTTCTACAGCAACTGGCTCTAAGGAGTACTTGTCAGGCATAGGGACACCATCAGGCCGGCCTAGGTGGCTCATAAGGACTACCGACTTGGCTCCATTGTCCAAGCAGAATTTGATGCTTGGGACAGCAGCCTTAATCCTCTGGTTGGTTGTTATCTGGTTGTTCTTCATAGGAACATTGAAGTCGACTCTCATAACGACCAGCTTCCCTTTAACCTCCAGCTTGTCCAGCGTCAGCTTGTTAGAAAGCGACATTTTGGAAATATAGCTGGGAAGAGAGGTCAGTGATTCGGACAACTAGGGAGCCTGCTGCAGACTTGCGCTCGGGAGACGAGAAGAATGTGATGGATCTTTTTAATGTGTTATTGCATTCTGTTTGCTAGTATTTTATTGAAGATTGTAGTTATTGTTATATCTTTGTCTGGTTTTAGTAATAGGTTAACGCTGGCCTTGTAAAATCAGTTTAAAAGTATTCCCTGCTCTTCAGTTTTTTTTTTTTTTTTTTTTTGAAGAGTTTGAGTAGAATGGTTATTGGTTCATTTTTTTAAGTGTTTGGCAGAATTCAGCAGTGAAGCCATCAGGTCTTGGCTTTTCTTTGAGGGAAGACTTTTTATTATTGCTTTGATCTTGTTACTTGTTATTGGTCTGCTCAGGCTTTGTGTTTCTTTTAAAATAATTTTTAAAAATTGACACATAATAATTGTACATACTTATGGGGTACGTAATGATGTTGTGCTATATCTGTAATGTATAGTGATTAGATCAGGGTAGTTAGCATATTCATATCTCAAACATTTATCATTTCTTTGTGTTGGGAACATTCAGCATCATTTTTCTACTAGCTATATGAAACTATATAATAATATTGTTAACTATAGTCATCCTACAATGCTGTAGAACACTAAAACTGATTCCTCCTATCTTGCTGTAATTTTGTATCCTTTAAGAAATCTTTCCCTATCCCAACTTCTCCCTATGCTTCCCAGCCTCTAGTATCTGCTGTTCTAATTTTTACTTCCAGGAGACCAACTGTTTTTTAGCTACCACATATGAGTGAGAACATGCAGTGTTTAACTTTCTGTTCCTGGCTTATTTCACTTAACATGATGTCTTCCAGTTAGGTTTTCTGTTTCTTCAGGGTTCATTATTAGTAGACTGTATGTGTCCAGAAATTTATCTCTGTCTTCTGTTTTCCAATTTGTTGGCAGATAGTTGTTCAAAATAGTCTCCAATGATCCTTTTGTATTTCTTTGGTATCAATTGTTATGTCTCCTTATTCATGCCTGATTTTATTTATTTGAGGTTTTCTCTTTTTTTGTAGTCTAACTAAAAGTTTGTCCATTTTATCTTTTCAAAAAACTTTTTGTTTCTTTGATCTTTTGTGTTTTTTAGTCTCAATATTATTTATTTCTGCTCTGATCTTTATTATTTTTTCCTTCTACTAATTTTGGTTTTGGTTTATTCTTTTCTAGATTCTTAAGGTATATTGATAGGCTGTTTATTTGAAATCTTTCTATTTTTTGATATAGGCATTTATTGCTGTAAACTTCCCTCTTAATGCTGCTTTTGCTGTATCCTATAGATTTTGATATATTGTGTTTCCATTTTCATTTGTTTTAAGAAAATTTTATATTTCCTTCTTAATTTCTTAATTGACTTATTTTTCAGGAATATATTATTTAATTTCTATGTGTTTTTATACTTTACAACTTCCTCTTATTATTGATTTCCAGTTTTATTCCATTATGGACAGAAAAGATACTTGATATAATTTCAACTTTTTTGAATTTTTTGAGACTTGTTTTGTGGCCTACCATATGGTCCGTGTGCTGATGAGAAGAATGTATATTCTGCAGCAGTTGGATAAAATGTTCTGTATATGTCTGTTAGGTCCATTTGGTCTAAAGTGTAGTTTAACTCCAGTGTTTCTTTGTTGATTTTCTGTCTGGATGATCTCTCTATTACTGAGAGTGGGGGTGTTGAAGTCCCCTATTAATATTGTATCTCTTCCTTTAGATTTGTTGTTATTTTCTTTATACGTTTGACTGCCCTGATGTTGGGTACATATATTTACAACTGTTATGTCCTCTTGCTGAATTGACCTCTTTATCATTATATATGACTTTGTCTCTTTTTACAATCTTAGCCTTGAAATCTTTTTTATCTGATGTAAGTATAGCTACTCCTACTCTTTTTTTCTTGGTTTCCATTTGTGTGGAATATCTTTTCCTATCCCTTCACTTTCACCTTATGTGTGTCTTTATAGGTGAAGTGTGTTTCTGGTAGACAACATATAGTTGTGCCCTATTTTTTTTTATTTACCCAGCCACTCCATTTCTATTAATTGAAGAATTTAGTCTATTTACATTCATTGTTATTATTGATAACTAAGGATGTACTACTGCCATTTCGTTATAGGATTTCTGTTTTCTGTTTGTTTGTTTGTTTTTTGTTTTGAGACGGAGTCTCGCTCTGTTGCCCAGGCTGGAGTGCAGTGGTGCGATCTCAGCTCACTGCAACCTCCACCTCCTTGGTTCAAGCAATTCCCCTGCCTCAGCCTTCCCTAGTAGCTGGGATTACAGGTGCACACCACCACACCTGGCTAATTTTTTTGAATTTTTAGTAGAGACGGGGTTTCACCATGTTGGCCAGACTGGTCTCAAACCCCTCACCTCAGGCAATCCATCCACCTCAGCCTCCCAAGGTGCTAGGATTACAGGCATGAGCCACTGCGCCCAGCCTTTCTGATTCTTTTATAATGCCCCTCTTTCTTTCTTCTTTTCTTACTGTCTTCCTTAACGGTTAAGTGGTTTTTCTCTGACAGTATGTTTTTAGTTAATTGCTTTGTATTTTTTGTGTATTTATTATAGGTTTTTGCTTTGTGGTTACTATGAGGCTTACAAAAAACATCTTATAGACACAATACATTATTTTAAACAAATGACAACTTGACTTTGATCAGAAAGGAAAACAAGGAAACCAAAAAGGAAAAACTAAAAACGCTACACTTTTAAGTCCATCCCCATGCATCTTGACATTCTGTTGTCTCAATTTATACCTTTTTTATATTAAGAGGTTGCTGTAATTATTATTATTTTTGATAGATTTGTCTTTTAGTCTTCATACTAGATATATGAGTGGATTATACACCACAATTATGGTGTTAGATTATTCTGAATTTGTCCGTGTACTTAGTTTTATCAGTGAGTTTTATGCCTCCAATTTTTTTTTTCATTTTAACATCATTTTCTTTCATATTGAAGAACTCTTTTTATCATTTTTAGTAAGATGGGTCTAGAGGTAATGAATTCCTTCAGCTTCTGTTTGGTAAAAACTTTATCTCTCTGTCATGTCTGAAACATAGCTTTTTTGGATACAATATTCTTCATTTGCAGGGTTTTTCTTCCCCTTCAACACTTTGAATATGTTGTCCCAGTGCCTCCTGCAGGGCATGGTTTCCTGAGAGGTCAGTTGCCAGACAAATTGCAGCTTCTTTATATGTTATTTGCTTCTTTTCTTTTGTCACTTTTAGGGTCCTCTCTTTGTCACAGGCTTTTTAGAGTTTGATTATTATATGCCTTAGGGTAGTCTTATTTGGATTGAATCTGTTTGGTGATCTATGACCTTTACCTGTATATTTCTATCTTTCTCCAATAGGGAAAATGTTCTCTTATAAATTCTTTAATTAACTTTCTACCCTTTGCTCTTTCTCACCTGTCTCTTGACCACCAGTGACTCTTAGATTTGCTCTTTTGAGGTTATTCTCTATATTTTGCAGGCATTCTTTGCTCATTTTTATTCTGTTTTCTACTCTGTGTATTTTCCAATAGCCTGTCTTAGAGCTAACTGATTCTTTCCTCTACTTGACCCAGTCTGCTGTTGAGAGCCTGTAATACATTTTTCAGTTCAGCAAATTTATTTAGTCATTCCAGCATTTCTGTTTAATTTTATTATTTCAATCTTTTTCAGTTTCTCTGATAAATTTCTTAATTGTTTTTCTGTGTTGTCTTGGAAGTTGCTGACTTTCCTGGAATTGCTACTTTAAATTCTTGATCTGAGAACTCACACGTGGCTGTCTTATCAGAGTTTGTCACTGGCACTTTGCTTTGTCTGTTTGGGGAGGCCATGGTTCCCTGCTTGCTGTTTCTTTTTGTGGATACGTGTCTATGGCTTTACACTGAAGGATTGCTTATTTATTCCAGTGTTTGTTCTCTGGCTTGTTTTGGTCTTTCTAGAGTATGTTTGCTTAGAGGTCGGTTGCAGTTGCCTGTGGGTCTCCTTTATCCTAGATTACTGCTTCCTGTTATTAGCACTAGATGGTGGCATAAGTCCTGGTTTGCTTCAGTTCTCAGAAACATTTGGCAGTACTGTCCCCAGTGGTGGGGAGGGGGTTGCATCTCAAAGGGGATATCCCAGCTATGTAGGAAGGCTGCCCAGTGGTTCCTCCTCAGAAGATTTATGGACTGTGCCTCCCACAACGTTGTACTGCTGAACAGCCACTCTGAATAGGCGTCTCCTTTGGCTGAAATAAAGAGCAGAAATTCTTGGGCTGGAGTTTTTAATCCTGCTTCCCATCTTTGCCTGTAGCCTCCATTGGGGGTTTTTCTTCCTAAGGCACTTGTGATGCTTCCCATGGGCTGAGTCAGGAGTGGTTTTCCTGCAAGAAAACCCAAGATGTGGGGAAGCTGGCTTTCTGCTTTGATCTCACTTTATCCAGTGTAGAAATGGTGAGCCGAAGAGGAATTTCCTGCATGCAGTGCCAAGCAGATTTGGGGAGTGGCATTGTAGGTAGAGAAATTCATTTCTCTTACCATCTGCGTGGAGCTTTTCTCTTCTCTGTGGCTCCAGGAATTGTGTCGGCCTCAGGTTCAAGTTCTGGGATATTGCTGGAGATAATCTTGGCACTAGAAGTTTATGTTTGGTTTTCTGTGATAAAGAGTGAAGCCACATTGCTTCTACTTTTCCATTTTGGAGGTATCACCCTCTGTTGATTTTAATTTCTGACCATTTCAAAGCAAAATTATTAAATAGATAATGATAATATGACAAAGAAGGAGTGATAGCCATAAACCTTCATGCAATGAATAGTATTGCATCAACATGTAAAACTTAAAATGCTAGAAATTAACTGAAACACAATCACCTGGGGATATTTTATTGTACTTCATTTAATTTTTAACACAAGAAATAGATGAAAAACAAGAGTCAAATAATATTGGAAGAATAACTGTGAACTAAGATACATAGCACATTTTGTAGTTTACAGATACAGAATTACCTTCTTAATAGGTATGTTTGAAAATTTGATCTCTTGTTAGAATAAAAAAACTGGGCAGGCTTCTTTGATC